AAATATAAATAAAAATTAAAAAAAAAAAAGAATATATAGATGAACTTACCATCGTCTAAAGTGATGTCCTGTAGACCAATGGTTGCAAAGTTGGGTTCTCGATCTTCAGGTTCAGGTTTAATGCTCACAGTTGTCCCGTCAGGGGAAAATGATGCTGGATCACACAAACTGTGACATATTAAGGACGAAGGTGCAGAAAGACCTCCTTGGTCTGTACTTTGTGCTTGAGTCAAGCGCTGTCCAGAATGCATTCTGGTGGCTAGAGATGGCGATGAAGCAGTTCCTGAGCTAGGAGATTGGTAAGGCATGGACTGTAGTTGAGGGGATGGTGGCCCAGAAAGTGGAGAACTAGCCAGGGGATGAGGAGCTGTTGGGGAAACTGTTGCAGCAGATCCTGAATGTGAAGGACCATAAGTAATAAGTTGCAACTGAGGGGAAAGCTGACCTCCGACCTGGTCGGCCACTGGAGAAGAAAGAGATCTCTGTCCTGTGTTTGAACAACGGTATCCCATTAATTGCAGATTAGGTGAGGTTTGCACAGAATGAGGTGTATGTGCTAAGAGATGTCCTGCTGAGCCTGAATTTGAAGAATGAAATGGAACAGATGACAGTGGTTGACAACCAAGATTTACTAAACTAGGAAAAGCTGTATCCTGCTGAAACAAAACTGGATCAAATTCTTGACTAGAGGCAGCATTAACAGGAAGACAAGTTGGTCCATTATACACATTACTTTGCATAGGCTGATAGGAAGACCCCACCGGAGAGGTTGGTGTAACTTGAAAAGGCTGGTGTACTACTGAAGGTGTTATATGTTGTTCTTTACCAGTACCCTCATCCCTACACTGCAACTGTGGTAAATGAGATGAGGTTACCAAGGATGCATATGGTTGCTGGACAGGACAAATCAAGCTTCTCTGTGCTGACAGGACATTGTCATGTGGGTGCCCTGGATCTGAGGAAGACCTCTGAGTCTGGGCAGAATGAGGCACAGGTAAAGGTGGAACTGAAGACAAATCAATTTCTTCTCTGTGTTCTTGCTTCATCAAAACTGAAAATAAAATGATTAAAACAAATGTTAAACAATATATAAAATAATGAAAGGTCTTCACTGTAGGCTACACACCTGAAGCATATGGTCAAGCCAGCGATGGCAAACTTTGATGGTTTCAGGGAAAGCAAATCATGTAAAATAGTGTGTGTGTACATTGGGCATGGTGGTGTACATCTGTGATCCCAGTACAATAAGTCCTTGATTTATGAACATTTGAGTTGCAAACTTTCCCAGATATGAACAGACCTCATGTTACGAACACTTGCAGATGCAAACAAACATTTGTAGATGCAAATATCCAGCGCATGTATCTGCTGGACATTGTCACAGTTGTACTGCTGTGCACTTACTGTACAGGGCAATAGCAGACAATAGTAGTACTGTTCTCATTCAGAGCCCGGGATGTCCAGAAGCAAGAGGAAAAACATTAATGATGTGGAGGGAACTTCTAGGAAGCTCAAAGTAATACACATTCTATCTTTGTGTCAAAGATGTAGAAGACTTACTTTGGATAAATCTATTAGTCCATAAAATATTTAAGAATAACTTAAGGAAAGCAGTACTACAGAGAAAAGAAAACAAAACACAAAACCTGCAAAACACTGGTCAGAAGAAATTAAAGATCTCAGGATGGGGATATTTTCTCAGTAGTATAAGCCACCTGCCTAACAAGTACAAGATCCTGAATTTGATGCCCAGTACAAGAAAGGAAGGAAAGGAAAGGAAAGGGAAAAAAAAGGAAAGGAAGAAGGAAGGAAGGAAGGAAGGAAGGAAAGAAAAAGAAAGAAAGAAAGAAAGAAAGAAAGAAAGAAAGAAAGAAAGAAAAAAACATAGATTAAAGATCTTAATGAAATGAAAGATTTTCCAAGTTTAGAGATTTAAGACTTTTTTTTTGGCAGAACCAGGGATTGAACTCAGTCCCTTGTGCTTGCCAGGCAAGTGCTTATTCTACTGAGCCACCTCCCTGGCCCCAAGACTTATTTATTGCCTATTTTTGCATTAATGTTAACATAGTACACTAGCTAGCCAAAGAGCACCAGGATATCAATGCAATCCTCATTAGTGACCTTTTTTTGCAGAAACTGAAAAAAAAAAAAAAAATGCTAAATTCATGCAGACTTTCAAGGGATCCCAAGTAGCCAAAAAAATCTTGAGAAAGAGAAAGTTGGAAGACTCACACTTGCCAATTTAAAAAGTTACTATAAAACTACAGTATTCAAAACTACATGGCACTGGCCTAAAGATAGATGTATAGATTAGTGAAACAAAATGAATCCAGTAGTACTCTCGCTCAAGTATTGGGAAATGAACTCAGTTATGCATACAAGGCAAATATTCTACTACTATTTTCCAGCCCTCAGAATTTTTTTTTTTTTTTTTTTTGGTTTTTAGCATCTAGGGTGTGTGTGTGTGTGTGTGTGTGTGTTTTTTTTTTTTTGGTGGCACTGGGGATTGAACTCAGGCCCTTGTGCTTGCCAGGCAAGCACTTATTCTACTGAGCTATCTCCCTAGCCCCCCAGAATAAATTCTTTTTTTAAAAAAAATTCTTATACCACGGATCCCTGTGCTTTGCTAAGCTTGTCCTAAGTAGGTGCTTTAGACCACTGAGCCATCTCACCAGCCCCAGAATAAATTCTTAAATGGTCAAAAACTCTTACAATGTCAATGATCTTCAAGACTATTCAACCAATGGTGTTAGAAAAACTGGGTATCTACCATGTAAAAGAATAAGGTTAGATTCTCACTTTTTTTTTTTTTTTTGCGGAACCGGGGATTGAACTCAGGCCCTTGCACTTGCTAGGGAAGCGCTTATTCTACTGAGCCATCTCCCCGGCCCTAGATTCTCACTTTATACATAAAGATTAACTTAAAATGGATCAAAGACCTAAGTTTAAAGGCTGAGCTATAAAACCCTTAGAAGAAAACATAAAACAAGTATTTATGACCTTGACTTGGCAATGATACCTTAATTATGATACCAAAAGCAAAGGCAAGAAAAAAGAAATTTCATAAAGATTAAGAACTAGAACATCAGAGGTATAATAGGATGGTAAGACAACCCACAAAATGAGAAAAAATATCTATGAACAGTCTATCTGAACAGGGTTTAAGAGCCAAACTACATGACGATTTCTTATAATTCAGCAAGACTGGACCAGAGTGTGGGAGGCACAATAACTCCATGACTCCTATACTTTTTTTTTATGTGTGTGTATGGCCAGCTCAGCCCACCAGAAGGCGGGGCTGGCTGGCATGTGGTGCTGGGGGATTGAATCGTGGTCCCTGTGCTTTTCTAAGCTTGTTCTAAGTAAGTGCTTTAGACCACTGAGCCATCTCACCAGCCCCAGGCCTCCAATACTACTGCAAGTGAGTCTTTTTCTAAATCCTGTGAATCTGCCACATTATGACTCCGTGCCATATAGCCCTTAATGGTCTCCTGAGTGCCTCTGACCTATAAAATTCTCTTGGTGCATCAATGTCATTAGTGACGCTGACTTCCTCCTCCCCTACCTCTGCTGAGCTAGGTTCCTAGTTCTTACCCCGACTATTTCCCATAAGTCTCCTGCTATGCCCCGGAGGTGGGACTTCCTGTCATAGCCCAGTTGCCTAG